TATCCGGTAAAGAACACCTTCCAATCTTCTTTGTCAAAACCTAGATACTCATCTCCAGAGCTAAATGTAGAGTCACTTGAAACCTTTTCTAAATCAGCATCTGAGTCCTCATACATCAAATTGTCCTCTGTACCATACAGTGCATTACTAATGCCACACTTCTTAAATGATTTAACCACTTTTCTGTTTTCACAGCATCCCATGAAGCTTTGACCCTTTCACAAACTTCCGAAATGCTAGGCCTCTTCCTTCTTCCTGATGTTGTAACCTCAAAATTTGAAGACTGCATCCAGCTGTTCCACTTCTGCTTCATAAATCCCTTAAATGGTTTATTGATGCAGATATCTAGAGGTTGAAGCTGACTAGTTGACTAGACAGAAATGAATGTAATCAAAAACTGAGTATCAAAGTATAAAATGCAGTATCAATGTATGACACACCCCATTTTCCAGACCAATTTTCAAAGAAAAAAGGTGTGTCTTATATGTCGACAAATATGGTAATTAATAAAGCATTAATAAGAATTAATATACTAACATAAGAAAGGCAAAAATCAATCATACCTTCAAAATACAGCTAATATCCAAAATTTTATCTGATGCACTTTTGTTTTTCGAATAAGCAAGAAATTACTGAATTAAAATTTAGAGTGTGATGTTTTAATCTCAGTTACTTATAAATTAAAAATATGATATTTATAGCTTACAGCTATTTATATTGTAATATAATAGTAATTTAAACAGAATTTTTTAAGAAAAAAAAAATTACAGCAAACCAGTGTTTTAACAATACTAATGTAAAAGTTTTTTTTTTTTTTTTTTTTTTTTTTTTTTTTTTTACGAATCTAATTCTTGATTTATACCATAATAATGGTATACATTCAAATAATTCCAGAAACTGAACTTTCAATAAATGTAACATTTAATAGTACCTGGTAATATAAGAAACATATTAACAGTGTGATCAATCTTCAATACATTAGCATCTTATTTTCCCTTAATATGCTAGCAAAAGCTTACAATAACAGAGCTTCTAAATATATCAATCAATAAAAGGAAGAAAATTGACATTATATTCTACTGAACACAGTATATCTTCACATCACCATTCAAACAGTTTTCCACCACAATTTCATACTTTAAAGAAATACTCTTAAAACTGTACATGTAAGCCAATATATTCTAAAGAGATTTTTCATTCCTTTATGTGTAGTAAACAGGTGTCATGATTATTTGCAGCTGGAGCACCATAGATAATCGAAATCCAAAGCATTCTTTTTCTAGTTTGTAAATGATTACTGGTTATTAAGAAAAATAAACAATAAGCTAACTTCAGTAAAGCCTGTCTATCTTGAGTATCAGAGAAAAGAGAAACTTTTGAGATAGACAGATTTGACAAATATCGCATGTACTATTATACTGAAGTACACATTTTATTTAATGTGCACTAATTTTAATTTGCTGTTAATATTACATTAGGGCAGCATATAAGGTGTGAATAAAATATTTTTGGCACATTTTAACAAAAAATATTCCATGAATATTTTCAGATACTCAATTTTCAGAACATTAGCAACAATGATAAATCCATCCTAAAATTATCTTCCTGATAATCAAGAAAACCTTAAATACTTCACTGGTCTTCTCTATTTCTTTTGTTGCAATTCTACATTAATCTGTCAGTGTCTCTTATTTGATCACTATTGCCACCAGAAACTCCTCTCCTGAAATATAGGAGCTCTACATCTGTTAACATTTCAAAGAATCATCAATGGTAGAAAAAAAAAAAAAAAAAAAAGATCATAATGAAACATGTACTCAGTTCTCTTGAATAGAACAAGATAAGTTAAATGATGTCTAAGAAATCATAAAACTTTCTTGATTATATTCCTTCCCACTTTAATTCCATTATCCAAAATTTCCAGTTCTTACTGAATTTTATAATTTTTACCTGTTTTATCACATACAATGATGCATTATTAGTAAAAAAATAAGGTTTATCTTTTAAACATTTTTATATACAATAGTGCAAAACATAAGAGAATAGTCAGGCATAACTTAAAACAATGCATAAAAAATGTGATTATACTACTCAGTTTCAAATTGACACTTCAATCTGTAATTAAACACAGGAAGAAAACAGCTCAAAGTAAACATGGAAAGTAAGATGAATCTAAAATGGAATTGCAGGAAAATAAATACCTTATTTATATACATATTTTCCACCCTTTTGCCTTTTCTTGTAAATCAAAAAAAGTAAGATGCAAAAGCTACAGTATTGTATTTTTATTCTTACATGGTGTTTTAATTAACAAAAGTAATGATTTTACCTCAAAATCTTTAATTCACATTACATAGAGAAGAAATTACAGGGATAATTGATTTTTAATTGGAAAACAAAAGATTTGCATTAACATTTAAAAATATTAAAGTTAAATCAAGAAAACCACAGATGGATGAAATTAATCACACACACACACACACAAATTTTTCTCAAATAAAAAACTTACTATAAGAAATGGAATGAAAATCAAATATAAATTAAATTTTTTTATATTCTGACCTATAACTAATTAACATGATAATTAGGTAGTTTTGTGTATTGAGGACAGTAAAAAAATTGCAGCGAAAATACATGCACAAAAGCGCCAAATCTAGCAAACGCGCCCATTTAACAGCGCGCCAAATCTAGCATATGCGCTGATTTCAGATTGCGTAAGTTTATATAGTTTCTATATTTTTAAGACTCCATTGAAATATTGTTTATTTAAATCCTTTTTTTTATCCTATGGATTTAACCTTTGGAATTGCCATGATGAAAGTCTGTATAGAATTTGGGCAAAGTGCAGAATCACCCACTGCTTGACGCGTTTTTAAGAATTGCACATACTCGGTATCCATGTACACATCGACCTATTTTCACTTACAAAAACAAGAAAATTGACAAAAATCTAATTATTTTTACCCCTGTAAAAAGTGGCAAACAAATAAGTGGGCAATTCTGCACTTTACAGCGAATTTTTTCAAAAAAAAAAAAAAAAAAAAAGGTATCATTCATTATAGAAAATTATGTTTGAACAACCAACGAAATGAAATTATGCTTTAGCGATAACTCGGTAGCGAAATAGCGATGCAGGCATCATTCAGTACGTTTAGCAATTTTTATTAAATTAAATAATGATCTGAAATAGTTATTTACTCTATGCTTCCATTCAGTCATGTTTAGCCTTTTTATATAAATTATGGAAACTACTCTGATATGCGCCCTGAAGTCGCCAAATATTTTGGCAAGAAACTTCACGATGCCATATTATATCTAAACTTTTTGTCTACATTTTGAACTTTTAGCCTAAAATGTCTCCAAAAAACGCGGTTTCGCACATGCAAAAAACTACGTTTCAACATACAATTTAGCTAAAATTCGAAACAAAACAAAAAATTTAGATAGCAAAACGTAATATTCTAACCAAAAATATTTGACAAGAATCCGTGTACACGGCGACATTTTAACTTAAAAAAACTCTAACAAATGCACAATGTAGGCAACGAACAAATCTACAAACTACGCACACCTCGCTTTAATAAATTAAATGACAACAATAAATTCAAAGAATACATGTACACAGCATCCTGTTTAAACTTAAAAATTCTACGAATTGCACAATTTAGGCAAGGAGAATCTACGATCTACGCACTCCTCGCTTTAATAAAATAACATAACAACAATAAATTTCAAATATACCATGTACACGCATTCTGTTTCAACTTAAAAAACATCTACGAATTGCACAGTCTAGACACTAAACAAAAACAAATTTCAAACAATTTAAAAAAACAACAATAACGACAGAAATTCATATAAAGAACCAATGAACGTAACATTCTACAAATAAGACAAGGATAAAATGAAATGCACTTACCAGGAATTAATGCATTTTCGAATAGCAGAAATATAATTTCATACCGCCACGTAATCACTCGTATTTACATAACAGCCAGACACATATCCAAAAAATTAGACTATGGTTCACAAATAAAATAAAATCACAATCCCTACTTCTATCATGCACTGCCATTAAAAATAATCTCCCAGACCCTCTTTCCACACTTCCAAATACCCACTACCCCTCAACAGGATAGCCACAATGATATTTCCTTTTGCCGAACTTCAATTCAACAACTACCATTTTATCTTTCCCTCCCATCTTCTCAGACACAGAGGCGAATCAACGAGCTCCAGCGAAAGATTTTTAAACGTCAACAGGGTTGCCATAGAACACGCAATCGTGCCAAACACCAGCGCAGAACACATATCGCCACATTTGGTGAAATTAGAGTTGTACCTAAATTATAATAATAAAAAAGTATTATATGAAATTAACTTTTCATCTAAATTAAACATCAATCTTAGATAGTTATTTACTATTATACTTCCTTTCTTGCGTTAGGGTTGCCGCAATTATTTTTGGCAGCACTAGCATCAACAATAGTTTGGTGACATTTTACGGCCCTCAAAACCGATAAGTATTCATGAAAAGATTAACAAAGAGCTTTAAATTTTTAATAACAGTATATCTACACTTTTCAAAAAATTAATTTAAGATTTTTTTAGCTGTTGAGCTTATAAATGAGTTAAAATTAATAAGATTTAGAAGGGGAATACTTTATACTTTCAATGTAATAAAAATTATATTACAAATCTCAGGCATGGTAAATTAATGTAATTCTTTTAGTGTTTGCCTATCATAAAATTCAAATTTTATTTTAATAATATAAAAATAATTTATGCAATAATACGGCAGCAATTAGCTCTATAGATGCTTAAATTAGTAATATTAATAATATAAAGACTGTAAATACCATATTATATTACTATACAATAATTTATTATTATTATATTACATTGCATACAATTAGTTAGATGTTTTTTGATAGAGATCAAATTAAAACTTTCAAAATAATGCTTAACCAACAAATAAAGACAATGACTACAATCAGAAATTACATAATGCAAATTAGGTTTTATATCATGACTTATCAATGATACAGTAAAATATAAATGAACTGAATGTTTTTGAAAACATTGCAATATATAAAATATTTCAGAAACGCTTTCTTTTAATAATCTCAGGTTTCCAGTTAACAGGATGAGTATCTTCAGTTGCTTCTTCATCTTCTTTGAATATTTTAACAGTTTTGTCAGCTTCTGCTGATAATAGTCTGCTTCCACTCTGATCAAATGTACATGCAAATATACCAGCTTCACTGTCAATTGAGCCAGGTTGTACAGGTGCTTGCAATCTCTGAAAATTATAACCAGTTCTCCAATCCCAAAAATATAAGGTGCCGTTGTCTCCACCAGAAACTAACACATTATCTGCATTAATACCAAGGCAATTAACTATAGCACTATGGCCACTAAGATTTTGAATAAAATTTCCATCAGGACATTTCCACTGTTTTATGTTATCTGGAGCTCCAGAAGCAAACATATTTAATCGAGGATGGATCAATAAAGCACGAATACTCTTTTTATGGTGAGTCAATGTAACACGGGTCTTGCCAGCTACTAAATCCCACAAACGAATAGTGCAATCATGACTTCCAGTCATAACTTGAGGCTCAATTGCCTGACACTGTACACTAGCTACAGTATTAGTGTGGCCAGCCAAGGAGTGTATATTGGCTTTAGTTCTCATATCCCACACTCTAGCACAAGAGTCTCGGCCACCAGTGACAAGAATGTCAATTGTTGGATGGAGAGCTAAAGCATAAACACCACTCAAATGCCCATGATAATGCCGGATTACTTTGTTATATTCAAGATCCCAACACTTAACTTGTTTATCTTCTCCACATGAAAATAAGTATGGTTGCCTTGAGCTAATAGCAAGGCCTCTGACAGCACTTATATGACCCGTCAATGACAGTTTTAATTTTCCACTCGCTAAATCCCATATCTTTATAATTCTATCATTTGAGCCCGTGGCAAACCATTCATTGCCAGGTTCTACAGCTAAGCACCTTACCCACCCTAAATGTCCACTAACCACTCTGTACAGTTTCCAAGGTGGATGCCACTGAGGTTTTGGAATGCTTGGAGCACGTCTTGTAGTTATTGCTTGTTGCTGTACGCCGGCCAAAACAACAGCTTGCGATGGAGGAGCAGCAGGAGCAGGTATCTGATACATCTCTTCCATACCAGGAGGGGGGGCATCGGTTTCATACAGTTCTCGCCCTTCAAATTCATTTAAAGAAGGTCTGTGTTCCAAATGTTCATCCGTATTTTCTTCGTTTTTACTGTTATTTAAATGCGCTTCATTCTCCCGATCTTCGCGAACTTGTTTACTTTTAACGAGATGCAATACTGAACCATACTCATCTCGAGCTTTGATCATCTTCATTTGCTCACTCTTATCACTAGGTGGTGGAGGATTTGCTTGATCTGCAAGGAACATGTCATGCGTTCTTTTTAAGGAACGAAATACTAAAGTGTGCACTGAATGCTTTTGAACTTCCATTGCTACAGCATAAATAATAGACAAAAAGAAACATACAACACACTATACGCTGCAATGTTGAGTCTTTCAGCCTATCAAATTTAGTGTACGGTTACAATGTAACTACAACTTTCGAAAGTGTACAAGGAACGAGTAAAATGAATATTTTTCATGGCTATCTTCTAAAATGGACTAAATTAGAGATAATAAACAGTAATTAAAATTTAATTATTAGTTAATTTATAAGTCTGTTTGGTTTTTTATAAATTTAAAGTGTGGGATTTAATTTCGTAAGAAACAATGAGCTTAATAAAAATAACATTTTCGGAACTGGCAACCGGCTGGACAAATCAACAAAATAAGGGCAGTAAGCGACGAAATGTCCGTGTCTGTGTGTCGTTTATAGTTACATTGCGTGCTAGTGTTAGATATTGTTAAATTAAAACTTTTAAAGCATACCTGTTTTTAAGCGTTAAATGACGTAAAGTGTATGTATTCAATTTCTAAAGCGTGGCTGTGCACTTGGTGATTTTTATTGACCGATGCTACATTCGATAGGCTTAAACAATATTTTTAAATAAAGTTTTCAGAGTTTTAACTTTTCCGAATATTTAACTCTAATGCATACTGGGGGAAAACCTGGTAAGTATTTATTCCACGAACAAACATATACAGCTTTTCGGAAGAATATGCAGAAATTGTATATTACTGATTTTAAGCTCTCATTTTTTTCACACAAGTAGAAATGTGTGTATATACTCGATTTATAATAATTCATGTCAAAGGTTGACTGTAATTCCTGTATGTAGTATTTTATATTTGGTAAAGTGTGTTTATATTAAGAACTATTCAACCAAGCCAATTTATTTTGAATTCTGCATAAAATTTGAATGGTTGTCAATATGTGCTTTGTATCTATAAGTAAATGAACTCAACGTCTGCTAAATTCATGAAAAGTATGCAGAAATATAGGTGAATTCCAATTGTTTTTATTTCGAGAGCAATTATTTTATATATAATATTTGTACATGTGTGTGGATGTTATAAAAAAGAACTAAATTGAATTTTTGGTACTATTCCGTTTTGAGGACCGTAAAAAATTGCAGCGAAAATGTATGCACAAAAGCTGTCATTAAAATTAGCAAACCACTGCTGGTGTAAGGAATATATTGTTTTCTGTGCTAACTGGAATTTAAGACACTTTTTTTTTCCGTTTATCGCGGTTAACCGGTTAGTTTCAGTATGTCAATACTAATTTATATTTTTTTAATGAATTTTTATTTTCGTTATAAAGGCTTATATATTGTCTTATGCTTAATATATTGTTTTCTGTGCTAACTTTGAATTTAATACAAATTTATTTTTGTATATCACGTTTAATCGGTTAGTTCTACATCTACATGCTTATTATCTATGAATTTTTACTGCCGTATGCTTAATATATTGTTTTGTCAGCTAACTTGACTTACATGCCCTAAAAATCATGTTTACGGCTCGGCTCATCCGAGCTTTGCGAGTAAAAATGCAACGCCGGCAGCGGGTTCTCTGAAAATCCAGAGCGTCAAATCTAGAAAACGCGCCCATTTAAACAGTGCGCTAAATCTGGCATATGCGCTGATTTCAGATTGCGTAAGTTTATATACTTCTATATTTCTTAAGATGCCATTGAAATACTAGTTTAATTTTTAAATCCTTTTTTGATATCCTATGGATTTAACAATTGGAAATTGCCCATGACGAAAAGTCTGTAATAGAATTTGGGTAAAGTGCAGAATCACCCACTGCTTGACGTGTTTTAAGAATTGCACATATCGGTATCCATGTATACATCAACCTATTTTCACTTAAAAAAAAAAAAAAAAAGGTTAATCTTTGGATTATGGTAACTTGGCGATTTTAAGGCGACCAACCGTGCTACAACAATCTGCTAGTTTTGTTTTGGACGCCATTTTGTTTTCACAAAGTAAAATCGTGTATTTTTTTTTTTTTTTTTAACTCAGCATTTTTTGCAACAATCTGCTAGCCGAATTATGCTTATGCTTAGACTTTTATGGAACAAAAGTGCTTAATCAGGACTAGTTTAGGTGTGAAATTGGAGAAAGTGCAGAATCGCAAACTGCTTGCCGCGTTTTTAAGAATTGCACATACACGGGATCATCCATGTACACGTCGAACTATTTCACTAAAAAAACATCCCAGAATTGCACAAAATGGCATCGTGCACACTCTTGATTTATCCATGTACCTGCAAAGTCCTAGCTAGTAACCTTTATCGCCTTACCAAAATGTCGCCAAATACCTGTTACCATATTCCAAAGATTAGCAAAAAAAAATCAAAATTGCATAAAATGGCACTGTACACAACCTTGACTTTATCTATTTATCGACCTATACTTTATCATGTACAATGACCCTATTTTCACTTAAAAAAAAAAAAAAAGAAAATGGGCAAAAATCCAATTACTTTTAGCCCTGTAAAAAGCAGCAAACAAATAACTGGACGATTCTGCACTTCACAGAGAATTTTTTCAAAGAAAAGGCATCGTTCATTACAGAAAATTATGTCTGAACAACCAACACGATGAAATTATGCTTTAGCGATAACTTGGTAGTGAAATAGTGATGCAGGCATCCATTCAGTTATGTTTAGCAATTTTTATATAAATTATAATTATGATTTGAAATAGTTATAACTGATGACCATCTCCCAACTTTGTCACTTTTCCCATAAGATTCATTCTTGTCTCGTACTGGTGAGTATTGGTACGTTATAGAATTGCTTAGTCTCTATCAGTTTCTTATGCTTCAGGAAAAAAAAAAAAAAAATCGAATTACAAAATGTCTATTAAGAAAAGGAAATTCAGCTTGGTTTGGCAGCACGTTTCCTATACTAATGAAGACGAAAAGGTTATGTGTGACATTTGTAAAGACCTTTTATCCATCAAAGGCGGTTCAACAGGAAATTTAAAAAAACATTTGCAAAGGAAACATCCTTGTGTAAATCTGCACGAGAAACGCGCTTTGCCGAATCAAGATTGTTGATGATATTGATGCCGCTCCAGCCCGTTCTGTCGTCACTAGCGCTGCAGATGGTGGGCAACCATGCACATCCCAGCAGACTTTCACAACTTACGGTAGACAACAGTGCTTGTGATATTGTGGATGTATTTTCACAAAAATCCCAGTCCAGCAAAATGCAGTTTGTCCAGAGAAATACGACGGATGTACATAAAAAAAAAAAAAAAAAAGTAATCGATCGCGCGCTGATCAAAATGGTATATAAGGATTTACAACCAATAAGATCGTAGAAAATGAGGGATTCTGAGAATACTCAAAGGCTTTGAATCCAACCTATTCCTTACCTTCACAGAAAACGGTTTCTAAATCCTTGCTTCCTGCTGCTTATGAAGAAAAAAATAATAGTTTAAAAAACGTTCTTAGTGCTGTACAAAATATCTGTTTGACTGTAGACTGTTAGAGCAACCAAAAGGCTGAAAGTTACATGGCTGTGACAGGCCATTTTATTGACGAACACATGCAAAGGAAAACGGTACTGATTGACTGCTCAATTTTTGATGAACGTCATTCAGCCAAAAATATTGCAGAAAATATCATGCACATTTGCCAACCATATCTTCCGATTGAAAAAGTGTCTTTAATAGTGACTTACAATGCCAAAACTATGATTAACGCTGTCGACAGCGAAATAAAGTTAAAACATTTAGGATGCATTGCACACTCTCTCAATTTGGCTGTCACAAATTCTCTAAACAAGGTTAACGACCTTCTAACAAAAATTAGGGATATTGTGATAGTTTACAGGAGAAGTAACATTGCTGCAAAAAATTTGCGAAAATATCTGTGCTCTAGCGAGGAGAGAAAAGACTTTAAAAGTCATCTTACATGTGAAGACTCGTTCAAACAGCACGTTTTATATGTTAAAACATTTCCTTGAACTGAAAGAACTTGAAAAACTATTCGTTCTACGATGGGTTTGATGAACGACCCCCCCCAGAGGCTCTTGATGTGCGAGAATGGGAAAGTGTCAACATCTTTGTGACGTTCTGAAACCTTTTGAAAAGGTGACTTGCGAGTTGAGTTCGGAAAAATACTTGACAGCATCTACGGCGCCTGTGTTAATCGGCGAACTTAAAAAAAATATGTGAAAATCTGCTTAGTAAAAGCGTTAATGAACAAGTACAAAATGTGGTACTTGTACTACAAAGTAAATTGGGTAATAGATTTACAACTATCGATTCAAGAGAAGGCATTGCTTAAGCTGCTTTCCTTGACCCCCGAATAAAAAAATTGGGGCTCAAATGTGATGTCGCCAAAAACATTTAAAGTTATATTATCTGTCAGTTATTGGTAGTTGCACAAACTACCCATAATCTTGTTGAAGATGTGGAAAGGGATGATGAAGAGATAGACGAATCATCGGTTTGGTTCCAGTTTGAAAGTAAAGACTCTCGAACTTCATAAGCTCCCGCAGCATGCGCGGCGATCGACAAAGCCACGGCAGAAGTAAAAAGATACCTGCAAGAGCCCATTCTTTCCAGGAAATCTGATCCAATGGAGTGGTGGGAAAAGAATAAAAATGTATTTCCTAATTTGTATGAATTATCACGGAAAAAATTAGGCCTTGTGACTAATTTTTTCCCCCAGAGCCATGCGAAAGGGTGTTCTCTAAAGCTGGATTAATACTGAATGATCGGCGAAAGCATTTGAGTGGACAAAAGTTGAAACAACTAATTTTCTTACATTACAATTATAATATTTAATCATTTGTTGACCTTCTTAAAATTCCAACGCAAGTTCAGCTTAAAATGTTTATTTCTATGTTTATTTTCTCTGTATTATTTTCAAAACTCTTTCTGGGAGTCAATTTTTTATGCTTAATTTTTCGATACATGTTTTAATTGGTCTTTATAAAAAGAAATGAAAGGAATTAAATGCCTAAAATTTCCATAAAGTTAAAAAAATTGATACTTTTATAATGTTTTGCACAGCCTATCAAAGTTTTATTTGTTTTAATTAAATGAAATATTATTTCATTCAAATGTCAATTTCTTAAAAAAAATATTATTTTGAAATTGTATTTAGATCATTAATATGATATAAAGTTCTACAGTTCTATTATTTACTTAGCTGTACTCACATATGTTAAGTTCTCATATAGTTGAAAGCATGCTATCTTATTTTCTAGTGTTTAAATCATCTTTAATTTAAATTTTTATATCGAATGTACTTATTGAATTCATATAATGCGATTTTACAAATATTTTTGTTGCTTTTTGCTGTTACAACATCCAGATATTACGTTCTCGTAGTTTTAAAGACGTGCTGCCTTATATCCTAATATTTTTAATAATCTTTCACTCAAAATTCTTATTTCAAATGTGCTTTGGCTGTAATTTGAGTTTTAAAAATATTTTTTACCATTCTGTTGCATTTTTGTGTTTACAGCAGTTACTGCATCCAGGTATTGCGCTCTCACAGTTTTAAACCCTTTGCTATCTTATTTTCTAGTGTTTTTTGATAATCTTCAATTCTAAATTCTTATATTGAATGTGCCTTTTAAAATCATATTGTGCATTTTTAAAAATATTTTTAACCATTTTGCTGAAATTTACTTCTTACTG